ATGAAAGAGTTAGCACAAATGATCACATATAAAGTGTAATAGACTTAAAATAAGACCCAAAACTCAAGCGCTTTCGAATAGTTGACTATCTTTCTTCAGGAGAACAAATATATATAATGTTCTTTCTTTAAAGTTTCCCCTGTAGTGCTACCAAATAAAATTTGTTTTTATGCCAATTTATTTTCTATGTACTTCATGAAAATGAAATATTTTGAAATACTTTCTTCAACCATTCATTATGTCAGCTTATAATTGTTGTTGTGATTTACTCTCTTCCTCAATCGTAATAGCATTCAATGTTTGTATTTGAGTAGATGTTTTGGTAGTTTCATTCTGATTTTAGTTGCATGGATTATGGAACTTTATGATAATTTGAACAGCACTGATAATGTTTGCAATGACATTTTTTTCTGATATGTCAGTTTTTCAAAAAAGGATGTATTAACTCACAATGACGATCATTCTCCCAACATCTCAACTTCAAATTCTGCCTTTAGCAGCTTCAACACTTTTAGAATCTTTTTTACAAACTTGCAAAAATAATTTCCTTCATATAGCTTGATTTCTTGCATAAAACTTTTGTACAAGCCAAACCTGGTAACAACAACAATCGCTATCATATCTTGAAGTAACATTATCCTAATGTGAAATCTCTCACATTTTGTTTTAAAATATTAATCTCAAAACTACTGACATCATAGACACAGTAAGCTGGCCAGATGATACGAAAGACAAATTTTAAGCTATGTCCATGAATTTGTGGAGATGAACTCTAAAAGCAAGATTAGTAAGGTTCAAGTTTGAATTTATCATGCTTGTCTGGATTTTGTACCTAAACTACAAAGTATGTACTTAAATTATAAAAATGTATATGAATATGGAAGTATTCAAAATTTGAGTTATGGAGAAATTCAGTTATGATACCTACATACCACAAGAGTAGTGAGTGCAGAATAACCATTTTTTTTCTCTAGTCAATGTCTTGCACTGATTAATGCAAAATAAAGAACAAAAACAGAGAAATAATAGCGTGATAAAACCATTTTTAACTAAAATACAATTATGGACAACTGAACACCAACAACAAAATCTAAAGAACCCTCCACGGTCTTCCGTGCACGTGGGCGGGGGGTCTTGGAAAATGAGAAACATGATTCTTTCTTTATTCATTTAACATATGTATATGAATTGTTTATTCAATTCACAATACTTTGCCACCCCCTAGAAAACTTTGCCCCTCCCTGGAATAATTTCTGTGGATGCCTATGGAATCCTCAGATGAACTTTTTATGGATGTAAATGTTTGAATTTGCTATCTAACAGTTTCTTAACAACACAACTTTATAGTGGTAAAGAATTTTTTAACTTATATAAAATGCTACCAATGAACAATTGTACGTGTACAGAACTAAAAATAATTATGTACATAAAAATGATAATATTAGAAGTCACAAACAATGAGTAATTGTAATTAAGTTTATAATTAGTAACTGTATAATTAAAAGGGTAATGTGTATACGTGGGAAGCTTTTTAAACTTCATTCAACTTTGCAAAAATGAGGTTAGGAGTATTTTGGTTGTACAAAAAATATTCAGGTTGCTATCAAATATGCATTTTAGAATGCAAAACTATGTCAGGCTCTAGAATAGGATGTTTCAAAACTACCACACTTCATCTGACTTTCTAACTAAGTTATAAGCAGGTTAAAAAACTCCTTACTGCTCTGAGCAATGACTTTACTCAATACACAACAAGATTTTCTTGCAAACCACCATCTCTAAACAAACAAACACAACATTTCTATACAATACAATCTATCTATTGGCTATAAACATTTCTATCACACAAGTAGACATGAATGAATAATAGGCTTGAAATGCATAAAAGATGGAAATGATTGTCAAGTGGGTTTGACAAATTTATTGATATCTCAGCAAATCATGAAGAGGTTCAAATTTTACATCCTAGCACTGCCATTATGTGTTTCTAACTTATTAGGAACTATATAAATGGTAATTTTGAAGTTATAAAATTACTAACATAGAAGAATTTTTAACACTTACAATTGAAATTAAAGTAAAAACTTCGGATTATAAAGTACATTTTGATAACAACTTTACTGACATACATTGCAAATAAATTGGTCTAAATCAACTTTTAATGTAACTCTGTAAAATATTGTGGCATGTACATTTTGCCTCTCCCAATTACTTAAGATTAAACGCCAAAGAATTTTATTGCAAAAACCTAAATTAATTGCACATAAAGGTATAGCATTCAGAATGTGTATAAATGAATTTAAAAAAAGGTCTGTCTCACCTAAAAACTTCATTCCAATAATGTCTTACAAAATTCACTTCTTGTAAAGGAATGCCAATTTTTCGACAAACGTATTCTGCATCTTCTTTATCTTTGTCAATACTGCAGTGCCCAGTTTCATCTGCAATATCCCAGTTCCTCATGAAAACACCAAGCACGTCATAACCTAATATAACACAACAGATTTGAGTGAAACTTTTAAGCTTAGCAATATTATTGTCAAATTAGATAATCAAAAACAGCAGAAAGGTGAAAAATCAAAAAAGATACACAGGGTGTCTGAAAAGTCTGGAACCACAGATGATTTGCAGCTTTTCTTAATTTCAGGTACGTGACTGATTATGGTGCCATCAAAGCATGAAAAGGTTGAATTAGTCCTACTGTTAATACAAACTTGTTTTGAATTACAAGGACAGCGTGTGTAACACATTGTATAAAATTTGTTGAAGTATCTATGGTTACAGACTTTTCAGACACCGTATATATATATATATATCTAACTATTTAGCTTATATGGTGAATCAGATGTAAGCAACTAAAGCCAATATCAATAAGAATTACTAAATAAAATATCTGAAACATGAACAATAACAAAACATTGGCTGTGTATGCGTACATTTCACTTAATGATTTTGTTTTCTATATATATTGCTATTCACACAACCTCCACACTAAACATTAGAAATTATGATTTAACACATTTCTTACTAGCCTAACTACACCTTACCTTTTCTCTTCAATAAAAGGGCAGCCACACTACTATCTACACCACCAGATATACCACATACTACTTTTCGAACAGGAAACATTGCTGTCATTTCTAATTTACGAAATCTTCACATATTATCTTCCATCTAGGGAAGATAAAAGTGTTACATTATACTCAATCTAATGTACAAATCTAAAGCTGCTTATACTTTCATTTGTCCAAGAATTACTGCAAAACAGTCATATGATGTACTCGTGTTTATAAATTTTACAGTACTTATTAGAGCTCAGCAATTAGAGAAATTTGATAACTGATTAATCATTAAGCTCATTAATCAATTACATTCAACTAACCAATTATTCACACATGACATATTTGGAATAATGAAACATAGTAATAACTGGAAACACTAATTTCGATTAGTTGATTATTTTCAAGTGTCATGACACTAATCAGCTAAGCTGAACAACCTTGAATTAATCAGAAATCATGAAGACAATATTTAAATTACTTGGATAGTTGGAATAATCAAAAACAATAATAGTCAGAAACACTAATTTCTATTAGTTGATTATGTTCGTGACATTCATTGATGTAACTTATTATATTGGTTAACCAAGTTAATTGCCCAGTTCTATTATTTATTGAAAATTAGGCACATTGTTGTTGTTAAGTCATTCAGCACATTCCTTAATACTTTAAAATAATGTTCTTGTCTTAAAACTATTAACAATTTAGTGGACAATCAATATAACCTAAAAAACATTTGTTTTCATATGATACATTAGAAATGTTAATGATAGATATACAACCTCCATACCAGAAAAAATACTGTAATCTGCATCTCAATTTCACTTATGGGTATGTTCAAAGACATATCTTGCATAACTGATTTCTAATCAGAATAGTCTGTTTTCTATATATGACAGGACTAAAGAAATTTTAAGTAATTTAGAAAGACTTACTGTTTTAATAGTTTTGAATTACTTGACTTATAATGCCTATTGGAAAGGCAAATTTTAGTAAAAAAAATTCTTAATATTATCTATCTCTGTAAAAACTTCATATTTACTGGTTAACTTTTCTGCCCAGTGAACCAGTATTTTAACTAGATTTGTCTTAAAATAAAATGGTGTGCAACTATCAGTTAAAATATAAACCATTGATGGTTTTACTGTGGCATCTAGATTAGCCCTATCACTTACTAATTTGTTCCTTTGTCACTATGAAAATTCTAGACTTGTAGGTTGTCCTTCTCATTTGAACCAGAATATTATAGAAGGTTTGTAGATGATACTTTTATTATTATCAGAAAAATTGAGCCTGTTGAAGGTTCATGAAATTATCTTAACTGCAGGCACCCCAATATTAAATTAACATAACCACCAACTTCCATTCTTAGACCTGTTTATTCATAAGAAAGATGGTAAATTTGAATGTGAAATATTCATAAGAGAACTTTCAACTTAGTCAGAAATATCACTGTCAAATATCACTTATTAATGGTTCCACCACCTTAACTAAAAATTCTGCTTGTGCTTATGCCAGAAACTTTCAGTCTAACAGACCATCATTTTTATGAACCATAGGAACTCCATATATACCAGAATGAGGAACAATTGATTTTATATTGTATTATTCACTAACAATCAATAAATTATCTTTTTGTAATTTAGTACTATCATTTAGATAACGTTTCACATTTTTCAGTTTCTATTATTTAGATAAAGATCCAACTCAAACTAAAGAAGATAAATTACAAAAATATTTATTAAAATTAAAAAAATATATACTTTCAGCAGAACCTTTTCCCTTCTCTCGGGGTTTGTCGTTAATTCTTCTGAGAGGATTTTACCAACCTTTTATATTTGGTTGTCTCAGTTCAACTTAGCTGTTTACGTCTATAGTAAGTCACATTTTAAAAAATTAAGAAACCTTCTAATATTGCTTCTGATTCTGTTAGTTTTACAGCATCTAGTTCTATTGATCTTATTGCCAAGCCAAGGCATAATTTTCATGATGGCTGAAAAAAAATTGATAATGTTTCGCTGACCTTCCCTCCTCTCCATGTTTTCTTGAGCCTGATGTCATTTGCCTCCTCTAACAGTTCTTATTACTGTAAACCAAGAATTTGATGTACTAAAACACTTAAGTGACGACCACTGGCTCAGTAAATGCAATCAACCAAAACATAATGGACTGTAATATCTACTAATAATGTTACTGAACCTTTCCATTGCTGCTAAATTAGAAGTACTGAGTATACTGAAACAGCTGTGAAATTATTCAATTTAAATAGGTTTAGAAGCCAGAATTACTATTGCCAACTACCCTCATTTATGCACTGAATGTTGTGCATATATTTTTGGTATCTCCCAATAAATATCAGTGTGACAGTTACTCAAGGAGTTATCTTATTTTCATATACTGGCTGTCAAAAGACATATTTGGTTCATAAGACTAAAGATAACCTAGTACAGTGGTTCCCAAACTTTTGGTAATCACGGACCAGTAAAATTCCAAAATCATTTTCGGGGACCGATACTCCAAATAAAATATCTGTTAATTACATAAGTAAAATAATATGTTACTTACAAAAAAAAATAAATTTTTTTTCAAAAACAAAAAAGAAAAGGTAGACTTAAGTGACTTTTAGTCATCAAATATTGAAAGAAACATAAGTAAGTGTCAGTGCTTTCAACAGCCAAGACATGTTGTGGACCAGTAATTCAAGAACAAGTACCGGTCCTCTGACCAGCATTTGGGAAACCCTGACCTAGTAGACATGACAAAAAAAAAACTTCTGTGACCTTTGAAGAATGTCCCTCCCTTCACCTGTGGTAATTGGTTTCAAAATGTTTTTCATCTAACTATTTGTAGCTAATCCTACTCTATGTATTCATTGTCAAAGGCATGGCCATTGGCCATATTGGTATTGCAGAGGTAGCTGTAGGGAGGGTTGCTTCCTATTATAAAATATGTATTTTATTGAGATATTCCTTGGCCAGTAGTGAATGCAACATTTCACTTCAACAAGTTTGATTTCTTCCTTATTTTTTTGCCCAGGGTGCATCAGTTTTTAAAAATTAGTTTGAACTTTATTAAAATTACCAAATATCAACAAAGTTTTCCTTCTTTTTAGAACTGTTCAGACAGCATCCATAGCCACAGGTGTTTTACTATGAATTTTTCATGTTTTTTACAAAAGAAATTAGCAATATTCCTAACCTTGACCATTCTTTGGGAAATAATGGAATTGGCCTGAATATGTAGATATTAACCCCTCGGTGATAAGTGTAAAAACAGAACTTATAAATAAATAAATTTTCATAGCTAAAGCTGTGTAATTAGTGGAACTTTACTAATTGAATAAATTAAGTGAATCAATTGTCCTCACACGAGTCTAATATTCTTATTTCCAACATGTTGTTGGTTTTTTCAAAAACGTTTTCAAACTAGCCTTCATTCAGTATCTTTGACATTCCTGGTTACAATGAGTTGTCCACCAATGTACAAGATCCTTTTGTTAAATCATATTATTCAGTTGATCCCCATCAATATTAAACACTCAATCCAAATTATGATAATCCTAATGTATTACCTTGCACTCACTGTAAGTAAATGTCATTGGAAGAGCTATAAGATGAACTGAAATGCACCATGAGTTAACTTTATATACAAGACTACTGTCTTTGTTGTCTAAGTGGCACAAGAAATACCAACCCCAAATTTATTATTTAATTTCTGTAGTGCATAT